TGGGTCTGGAATATCTCCAGAGAAGGAGACTCCACAGCCTTCCTGGGCAGCCTGGGCCAGGGCTCCGTCACCCTCAGAGGCAAGAAGTTCTTCCTCATCTTCAGCTGGAACTTCCTCTGCTTCAGTTTGTGCCCGTTGCCCCTTGTCCTGTCACTGGGCACCACTGCAACGAGTCTGGCCCCGTCCTCCTGACCCCCACCCTGCAGATATTTGTAGGCATTGATAAGGTCCCCTCTCAGCCTTCTCTTCTTCAGGCTGAACAAGCCCAGCTCCCTCAGCCTCTCCTCGCAGGAGAGATGCTCCAGTCCCCTCACCATCCTCTCGTTTGTTAGAACAAAGTACTATGTATATTTACCTTTTGTGTAAAAACAATTCTGGGGACTTCAAGCTGTTTCATTCAAAACCACCATATTGTGCCACGTACGTTTGCACGGGATGGAAACCCAGAGCTCAGCACGAGTGGTATCCGAGAGAAAGGCAAGAGGCATTGTGCTCCGCACTGCTGACCACGGAGACAGCACGCACCTTGAGCGGCGTAATCAGTAATTCCTGTAGGCGACGACTCATTCAGGGAAGCACTGAAGGGAACGGGTTCGTAACTGGCGAGGGCCCTGTCCGTTGAGCTATAATCGTCTGAGTAGCTAGAAGCAAGCGGGAACCCCGCTCTCGGAGAAGGCGATTCAGCAAACGACTGAGAAGGCATGTCTGAAAATTCCGATTTCCGACTGGAACGGCTGGAAAAGAATACAGTTAGATATTAAACAGAGAAATGTTAAAATTAAAAATGGAACTGTGAGAGTAACAGCATGTGCAGTTCAAGAAAATACAGTCTTATTTTAAATTGTTTCACTTCCAGCATGAATTATCAGCTTACAAAGAAGTCTGGAGTGTTTGGGATTTTTTTTCCTTACATTGCAGAGATCTATACAGTCGCTTCCCTTCCTCTCAGAAACTTAACTCGGACCTGAAAATCTCCAGAACGGAAGACAAAAGAGACAAAGTATTTTGCACTTTCAAGACAAAACTGACAATCCCTTCTCCCAGGGAACCTTCAGACAGAAAAAACACATTAGACAAAAACAGCACAGGGAGTGCCCACTAGGCGTAGTGCAAACTATAGTTATTTTTAAAGGCCTTTTCGGAAGAATTTGCCATTTAAACCCCTTCGTTGTTAGAAGCTGCTGTAATCGATCCGTACAGCAGAGGAAAAGGAGAATGGAGAGCTATCTTGTGGAAATTAAATTCTGCACGTTCACCGAGTTGCTGCATTCAGCAGACACGTTAAGAGCGAAAGGTAAGGCCAGACAACGAACACTCTGGAACCTCCTGCGCTGCCTACGCACTCGGAACGGCCCCACAAACCACGACACAACGTCTCTCTCTACCGCTTGGTGTCACTACAATGTCTCCAGAGTCATTTTTTACTTTAAATTTCTCCTCAGCTGTACTTTTAGTTTCATACAAAACACCCCTGCCATTAGTCCTTGTTTTATTCTCACGATGAACATACAGAGCTAAGCCATTTTATTGCCCCAATTGTATTTTTAAAGTCTATGCAAACACAGCCTTAAAGAACTACCTTTTAGCTCCCTGCCTATTTGTAACTGCAAATCAGAATTAGCAAAATACATTAATTAGTAGATGCATAATGACCACAAAAATGTAACGATTTCTGTTGCTGGCTTAAAAGAGTAGCATGTACGGACAATAATTTGAATGAATTTAAATTAATCGTTCAACCAAGAAAAAAAACCCCAAACAAACAGGGATTTATTACTTTGGAAATAAAATTTTACAGATACCAAAGAATGTGCCGTTGAAGGCTGAAGGGACTTGTCCTACAGCAGATGACAGCATTTAAACAGGTTCTCACCGAGGGTAAACACAGTTAACGATCCCGACAACTCCTTACCAGCAACTAGAGTGGGTGAAAGGACAAGCCCAGCTCCAACTCAGCTGAGATTATACCGTAAATGTATAAAGTGGTAATTCCTAAGATTACGTTTGATGCCATAAAATGGTAAACATTTCAGAACAAAGGTAAATCTTGCAGACAAAACTGTCCTAAACCTGAATTTATAAGGTAATTAAAATTTAATCAAGTCCTTCATAAACATTTAACAAATCTTAGCACACACACAGCAGGAGTACTACCCCCCCGGTTTTGAATCCGGGGTTTAAGTGAGATATTCTGAAAGCAGTTTGCAATTAAGAACCACTTGAGGTAGGAAACGTTCTGGAACAAAACAGGAAACAGTTCTGAGGACCTGATGAGTTTCTCAGATGTACAGCATAACGCTGTGACAGATGTAAAGGATTTAAACAAACAGCAGCAAGTTTGACCACGCTGCTTCTTCCTGCGCTGATATTGTTTATTGAGCTCTTTCCTTTGATAAACACTGAAATCATTTCCACCCTCTTCCTACTTCAATCAAACTGAACGATGGGAAAAACTTCCAGAATATAACGCTGTTTTATTGCAGTTAACTTAGTTTACTTCTAAACCAAGGAGGCAACTTCTGCTGTCACACTACTGCAAGTAAATTCCACTGGAAAACACCCTCTTCATTCACAAGGAATACACTTTACTTTACTTCACAAAGTAAAATGTTTCTTTTTCTACTCCTCAAAGTGGTCAGTTGTATGTAAAGAGCTCAAAACGCGTATTTTATCGCTGGCCAACTGATGCAGCTTCCGTGAAGCGGTCCGTTTCGGGGAACAGGGGAAAGAGGGAAGGTGCAGCTCTGCGGGTCCTCGAAAGCTGCAAACGTAGCCTTGCTCTGTCAGCGTTTAAAATGTCCTATTCAAGAGTAAGTTTTAAATTTAAAATTGAGAACGAAATTCTTACTTATGCGAACTATGTCTCTGAGCTTGCCGTAGAACATCTCCTATTGGGGAATCCTTCAGTTTCTTAAATTTCTCGCTACAGATTGGCAAGTAGGATATCTTTCCCGCCAGGTATCCGCACATTCCAGCAACTTTTCAAAAGAAAAAAAGATGGGTTTATATGCTGTATCATAACATTCACCACAGTTTTAAAACAGTAATTTCAAATAAATTATACAATACCTTGAATAAAAGAAAAAAAAACAGTTTAGATCTAACCCAAAACCACGCAGCAACCATCTCTCTCTGCTTCTGTCGCAGACAAAGGGTACTAGAGACAAAGGCAGCAGCTGACCAGACGCAGAGCAGGGCTTTAGACCTGGCATGGGCATCAGCCGGCTCAGCTCTGCGCCAAGGCCTTAGAGCAGCCGATGGGGGAGAGGTAAGCGAGGCCAGGTCCCACTGCAGGCTAGCGTGAAGTAGGACACACGGATCTCCCGCTCCCTTGCCAAAGAGGGACAGAGGAGCAACAGCTCTGTGCTGCGTTGAAGGGGATGCTGTCAATGTAGTCTATCAGTCACCGCTAACGAGAAGGTCCATTAAATTGTCAGTGTGCCTATAAGGCTACTGAGAAAAGTAGTTATGAGTCATTGCTATAGGCAAAAGAACTTCCTGGAAGAGAATCCCAATCTAGAAAACGCAACACCTCTCAGCTTCCAGACAAAACCAAGAGAGGCAATGCAGGGAAAGATGCAAGATAGAGACTAAAAAAAACAAACTGACTCAACAACGTTAGTTAGATGTAAAAGACCAATTACTGTAATCAGGCATAGATACTCCTCAGAACAGGAACCTAACAACTACAAGTGACACACCAGACTGCTGTAACCAACAGATACAGCAGCAACGTGCTCAGATCAGCGACACCAGAAAAGCAAGAACTGTCTTGAACTGCCTTCCTGTTGTCCAACATCAGCCAGCTAGCAGCAGTGCCTGGATTGCCTCTGCTCTTCTTGCGGAACCCGTGGAGGAAAAAAACCCAAACCGAAACACAACTGCACTGCTTCCTTTACTGAAATTTCACTGCAGGAGGAATGTGCAGTTAAATTATGAGACATAATCTGGACCTGTAGCCTATGACCCTGGCAATCGTTGTCAGACAATCCCATAGACAGCATGAGGATGAAAGGCAAACTGCTTGACTCAGGCCTTCTCTACTCCAACTCAGTCCCAGAAAAATCCCTGTTATTTAAAACGCACATAAATCACATGAAGTTACCTACGGAAAAGCAACCAACACACAAACTTTACGGAAATTTCTTTTAGTATAACATGAAAGTCCATATGCCTACCGCTGTAGATTGAAAAGGAGAAGCCAGCAGTATTTTGGCTTATAACCGTAACATCGAGAAGAGCTGGCCCAGTCCAGCTGCTCCTTACTTTTTCCCTTGATGTCACAACTTAGTTCTATTAAACAGGAGGAATGTGGCCCTTACCTAGAAACGTGTAGGAGCTCTCAGGGACACAGTGATTCTATCATTTATTAGGAACGTTTGTGTCATAACATTGTTTGGCATTCAAAGAAAGCAAGTACAATTCAGCATAAACAAATGGCAGCCCTAGTCTCTCACATTCATTTATCTGCTTCAACACCACTTCCTTCACCACAAATCACAGGTTTTACCCTCTTCCCACTGAAGTAAACTGTAAAAGCAACTGGCTGTATCTGGGCAGATTGGCAAGATGGCAACTTCCTGTTTTACTGTCATGTATCACATTGAAAAGGTTAATTTATTGATTTATGTTTGATTATACTTAATCCAAAATCATTCACACGAAATTGCCGTTTTCCTACAATTGTACATACATAATGTCCAGGAAAAAAAGGCACTAAAATAGCCTGAATGGGACAAGTAAGAACCATGAATAAAGACCTTCAAATTAGGAAGGGAGGGGCGGGTGTACTCTGGCAAAGTAATTTAAACTAAGCTTGTAGAGTATGTAGGAATTTAAGATATTGTAAATACATCACACTTGTCAAGCATATTTCCAACCTTCCGATCTTCTGGGAAGCCTATCAACAAAACTTCTCCAAAACATGCTGCACGAATTCCAAGATGGTGAATAAGTGAAACGCTCTACCACTCGGCACTGAATAGGTTCTCGCAGTATCAGCTGCTGCAGTTAAGAAACACAGCTAAAAAGTTGCTGACCAACAGAATTAACTGCAGGAAGGTGAAACTTCTTCACTGGATACGTCCGATCATTCACCCCTGCCTTCAGGCACAGCTGTGCCGACGTCAGCACCGAGCCGAGTCGCGGCGAATCGGCCAGCTAGTCTCACGGGAAAGACCCCTGCGCAGCGGACTCCGGAACCGAAGGCACGGACACACGCTGAATTTATACGCCGCTTTTACTTACATGCAACTTTTGTGAAGGAGCCAAATCTTGAGCTGTCTTTTAGAACACCTGAAAATGAGGATCGAAGTAATTAGTACTGAGTTATTAAGAATTAAGCTGAAAAACACCGACTGCAGTTAGGTTTGCAGGTACCAGGTTACTCTTTTTACAGAATCACAGAATCACAGAATAGTAGGGGTTGGCAGGGACCTCTGTGGGTCATCTAGTCCAACCCTCCTGCCGAAGCAGGGTCTTTTTTTTTGCACAGCACCGCGTCCAGGTGGGTCTGGAATATCTCCAGAGAAGGAGACTCCACAGCCTCCCTGGGCAGCCTGGGCCAGGGCTCCTTCACCCTCAGAGGGAAGAAGTTCTTCCTCGGGTTCAGACGGAACTTCCTGTGCCTCAGTTTGTGCCCATTGCCCCTTGTCCTGTCACTGGGCACCACTTCATTTAACATTGAAGAAAAATCAAGAAAACCTAGCATCTGAATTCCCCATAAAGCTGTAAAAATCTAAGAATTAACTCTTTAATCGCGTCACACGCAGTATTACTGCACACTACAGTTTCATAATCGCCGAGATGCTGCATTTGTCGAACAACATAAAATGAACACGAATTTGATTCTAAAGTTTAGGAACTGCAAGTCATGTAGCTGCAGAGTCTAAACTTCTTTTAATTACCGGTAGATTAGACATTATATCATTATAGTAACTTTATTAACAGCAGAAATACATTTCTTAGGAGCAACTCCACATTAACCCAAAGTATGTTCACACTTTACCTTTCCGAATTAAGAGACTAGTAGCAAGCATGCTCGCTGCCGCCAAAGGAAAAGCTGTCAAGAAGAAGAAAAGTGCTTAAAATATGATTTTCAGTATTTTCAACCACATTTAACAAAATATGCAATAAAACAAGAGTTGCTAGGCCTTACTAAGCTCATTTGTACAAGAATCTAAGCATACACTTAATTAACAAACTATACAGAAACATTCTCAACTGCAGTTTCTAAGAGCTACGACAAATTATGCAGCTCTGGCTAACGAGTCATCCTGTCTCCATCGGCCTTCACGTTTCCTAAGACACCAAAGCCAATGGCAGACGGGCCCAAGCTGTAAGGAGCAGACTCCAGGCCTTGCTACAGCTGCTGCAGCATCAAGGTGCAGAACTTCAACCCAGAGATGCGCACGCAGTTCTTGAGGACGTAAGGTGGTTACATCGAGGCCAGCGCCTCTGAAAATTTTTGATAGCCAAAAGTCTTGGTTTTGTTTTAACGTGAGAACTTTGGAAAAAGTCTAACTCTTGTAGAGATAGAAATGAAATTGATTGGAATTAGGTAACCTGGTTTATTCACCAGCAAATTAACGGACAGGGCAGCCTTTTCTGTAGCTTACGGATCAAATTATACAACTCAGGACTAGGGTCAGGAATGCAGAGAAGACAACAACCAGGGAAGAGC